AAAAAAAAAATACTGAAGTTAAGGCTCAATCCTACCCATGCAGGGCTGTTGTCCACATAACCTTACACTTGTTTTCTTTTCCCCCTTTTAATATTGATATGGGCTAACAAACTGCAGAAATGAAAAGCAACTAAAACATTTTTTTTTTGCTAACTTAAAAAGACATAAAAAAGATGCCTTATTAAAAATGCATAGATTCAGTTAACTTAAAATCTGATAACCTTAATACCCTACAAATTTCATTTCATTCTAATTGTTCTCTGGCTTTGTTTATTTGGCTTTACACTTTTAAAATTTGGTGTGTTCTTCTGTTTTTTTTCCCTGTTAAGGACAGTTTCTGAGATTCATTTTATTTTTAAAATAAAAATAAAATTTATTTTATTTCATTTCATTTTATTTTTGGCTCCACTGGGTCTTCGTTGCTGCACGCGGGCTTTCTTTAGTTGCGGTGACCGGGGGCTACTCTTCGTTGCAGTGGGCAGGCTTCATTGTGGTGGCTTCTCTTGTTGCGGAGCACGGGTTCTAGGTGCACGGGCTTCAGTAGTTGTGGCACACAGGCTCTAGAGCGCAGGATCAGTAGTTGTGGCACACGGGCCTAGGTGCTCCGCAGCATGTGGGATCTTCCTGGACCAGGGATCGAACCCATGTCCCCTGCATCGGCAGGCAGACTCTTAACAACTGTGCCACCAGGGAAGTCCCTCCATAAACTCTTTTACTATTAATCAGTCTTCCCCAGATGCCCTTTTTCTTTCTTACTCTGTTTGGGCTACTCTCTTTTCTCCTTTATCTTTCACATATACTACCAGCTCCTATTCTGCCCTTTTCACATCTTCACTTTTCCTTCACTGATTTTGTTTCTTTTGTTCATATCACTTCCTCATTACCTGATCTTGGATACTTTTCATTTTAGTAGTGCAGGTTATTTTAATATCCTTATATTACACTTTGAGAGTAAGAATATGTGGGAAAGTTCCAAACAATTTCATTTATGAATTAAAAATTATTTGACATAAGGCATCTACAATTTTATCTAGATCCATAATTCCATAGATTGTTAATTACATTGCAGGGTTTACAATGACCAAGAAAAAAAAACTTTCAAAGCTATACTTTAAAAATATAAAGATAATATAATCTTTCCTATGTCTAAAATTAACCACACAAAATAACAATGAACTTCTTTTTGAGAAAAGAATCGTGAAATTTTTTATCAAAAGGGCTTATTTTTCTTCTCCTGAAGACTTCCTTAAGAAAGACTAATATTAATATATTGAACAATCTCATTAGTATATATTTAAAAGGAAAAAGTAAACAGACATAGATAAATATGCTTGAACATATACAGAAGATTTCTGAGGCAACACATCAAAAAAGAGCCAATGGTTACTTCTGTTAACAAAGAAATAGGATTGAGGAAGGCATACAGGGTGACTTTTTTTCCTTTTTCCTTTGTTCCCTTCTATATTGTTTGAATTTTACCATGAGCGTGTATTATTATAATACAAAGCTTAATAAATTTTCAAAACCCTTCTGTTATAAAAAAAAAGTTTCTTTAAACTAACCTCCAAAGCTCTCTTGTAGTCACCCAGATGAAAAGCACAGTATCCAATCCACAAATTAGTGTCCTCTTCTTGTTCCCCAACATGACGTTTGAACTTTACATTAAAATTTCATGAAAAAAAAATCATGAATACTTTGAATAGTACACTCTCTGTTAAACACTGCTATGTTATTAATGAACAATAGGAAATCACAAATTATAGAAGCAAGATAATCTCAGTTTAATTAAACTGATACCTACAGAACTCAGCACAATTACCTTTACCTCAAATATTTCACAACTGTTTTTCTGTGTTTACTGACACCCTACTCCAGAAAGTATTTAAGAGTTATCCTCATAACAATTCTGGGTGATATATAAGGAACATAAGAATTATGTGAAATATTTAATGCCAAATAACTGAAAGTTAGTGAAATTAAGTCATGGACTCAAGGCCACATACAGCCAGTAGGTGTGGTGGCAGGGACCACCGTAGCCCATGGACTCCAAAGCCCATGTTTTCACCCCTCCATGCTCCACCCCACATTCACCTTCATGCTTCAAACCTGTCCCGTGAGCACACACGTACATTTATTCATAGGTTATAACCTTTCACTGAGGACAAGCCATTAAATCATTCTATTACCCTTCAACAGGCTTACCAGAGCCTGCAAGAATTAAAGATGTTTAGAAGATCACCTAATCATTTATGTCCATTATGAAAAAATATTCATGAATTCATCAGCCAATGAAAGAAAAGCCCTGTTTTGGAGGAAAGGAGTGAGACCTTGAAGGAGGAGTCTGAATGACCATGGCAAGGTGAGATTTTTTTTTTTCACTCTGTATGGTGGTAAGTCAAAAACATGGGTTAAAAAAAGTAAAAATTAAACAGATCATCGTTAACCTGTGGTGACCTAAATAGGAAGGAAATCTAAAAGACTGGATATATGTATACGTATAACTGATTCACTTTGCTATACAGCAGAAACTAACACAACACTGTAAAGCAACTATACTCTAATAAAAATTAATTTAAAAATAAAATTAAATTAAAAATTAAAGAAAAACAGATCATTGTTACAAAACCTCAGGTGCCTCGACCATTACAAGATGAAGACATCTGTTGATACTTTCTTGTCTGAATAAGAACTTAACTCCTGTAGCTAACTCCATAATATTAGAAATTCTCCTCTCACGAAATACTGTGAATTTGAGTACAGCGCCTTAAGTCTGAAGAAATTCTTATTTGAGGTCTCCCTGAATTTGCCCCAGGAATTCCCTGGAGCCACAGGAGAGCTCACGAGATCTCCTCATCCTAAACCATGGCAGTCCCCATTCCCATCCATCATGGCACTTTGGCTACCTAAGAATGAAAGCATAGCGCAGAACCTCCCTGACAACTTACAGGCAGCATGGGATTACACAGTAAGGAAAGTGTGGTCACTGCCTCAAAGAAAAGAGAGAAGAGAAAAAGAGACTGACAAAAATTACACGTGCATCTACCACTCAGTCCACTGATTTACAGAGCTAGATGGTCCTTCCAAGTCAACTCCCCCACTTTAAAGATGAGAAAGCTGACGCCAGAAGAGTTAAGCAATGTGCTCAATACCAGAGCACTGGCAAGAAACACAGGACTATACGTGAAAGACTGAGAAAGATACATAAAGCTAATTAAAACACTTATTGTTGATAGAGTAATATGGCTGTTGTAGTGCTTTAGAGAAATGATTATGGAACAACACAGCCAGGCTGTGCTGTCAAAACTCTTCATCTCTTCATTCTTTGGTGTACCCTTTCATTCTTTTATAACATATGCTTCCCAGAAAGCCGTTTCCCAAAGTGCAGCATCTTTGGAACACCTACATCAGAAGCACTTAGGTTACTTGCCCAAAATACGGGTTCCTGAGGACCACTGTAGGCTGATTCTGTAAAGAATCAGAATCCCTAGGGCAGGAGTCCAGGAATGTACATTTTAATAAGTACCCTAATTCTGATGCATATTAAAAGTTGAGAACTACTGCCATAGAGATTTGAAATATCTTCTGAAGATACAGTATTTTTAGACAATAAGCATGCAACATGGTAGAAATATTTAAATTTGATCAGAATGTTATAACATATAATAGGAATAAACCATAAATTGGTCAGGGGGTGGAATGAACAACATGTGAACTGACACTGTATTAAATGTCCCTCTACATTTTTAGGCTGGATTCATCATCAGTGGGACTAGATATAATTAAAACTGTCCCTCGAGAAATAAGTCTATCATTTTACTTCACCTTTAATCGGGTTTATAGTTAACTTGGAATCTGGAATCTGGGGCCTGACAAGATTTACAGAAAGTCCCAGAATGCACCCACCTGTTCCAACAGCATAGCAACCAGCATTCACCCATGCATTCCTCTATATTCTGGTTTTTCACCTCCTAAGAAGCAACCTTCTTTGGACATTACCTCCAACAGGGTAATAGCTCCAGTGAAATCTCTTTGTGAAAGTAGCTCCTCTAGTTTTGGAATCTTCCTACCTTTCTTCTTTCTTTTGTCAGTATGCGGGAGGTCCCTGCCTACAGCAGGTTTGGCCCTGGAAAGCATCTGTGAAAGAAACAACAAAAACAGCTGTATGATCCCATTCCGATGGTCAATATTAAACTGAGAGTGACGGCTCCAGGATTTATAAGTCAAATCCGTAACAACGAACCCCAAGCAAGCGTATTCAAATTCTTTCTGTAACATGTTATTTTACTAAAAGGGCCATCACCCTGTGTTTGAGCTAACGAAACTGCTACTCCCTAGTTCTTTATCTCCCCCAATAAGAGTGAGGTAAGAGATGCTTTCGCGCAGCTGCTGTCATCTCAGCCTTCCCTCGGTCCGCTTTCCATCCCACGCACAGCTCAGGAGTGGGGAAATGGAGAAGCAGGAGGGAAGAAAGCAACGATGTATTTACAACTGCATCCCTGTCCCCCGTGGGAACACGGGGAGGGCACAGACATCATCGTCTGCTGACAATCCTAGACTTAACCCAGAAGTATGTCTGGAACCTCTAATCTCCAGTCCCAGGACCTACTCAGAGTTCTCCCTCACTGTTCAAAGCCACTAACCATCTTATCGTCAGTCCTATGAATCCCCTCTGCAGACAAACAGAAGGCCGGGCCTCAGCGCGCCTCGGCATCCACAAAGCTGACTCGGTCTCCACAGCAACCCCGCTGGGGGACTGGTCCGTGCCGGAGTAGCGCCCGCCGGAGAACCGGTGCCCTCCACGTCTTGGTTCCCCTAGGCTTTCACCGCTGCAGGAGTGAACGTTTCTCCGGAGGAGACCGTTGTTCTCTGTGCTGACAGCGAGAGTTTGACTCGATCTCCATGAGTTTACTTTAGGAAAAAGCCAATTAGAATGGCATTGTTTTTCAAATACAAGTTTCCCGGGAAAGTAATTTTCAAGGACCACTTCCGGTTTGGATCGCGTTGGGCTCCTGAGCAACACGGGGCGCTGACTGGCACGTGATCGCCGTCTCTTGTGCAGTGCTGGAAAGCTTAGAAAAAAAATTCTGCCAAACCGAGGAAGCCGATGTTTGGAGGCGGGAGTTCACCAGAATACGGTTTCTTATTTCCATAGATAAAGCTACCCTTGTGATGTGACGTTATATTGTGATTCCTGCTCATAGAATTTAGAATAGAACCTCTGATTTGTTATAAATAGGGAAACCCAACATGGAGTCACAGTGACCAGTGTGGCACCCATCTTGATTGTTTCTAAAGATATGATGTAAGATTTGGAATATGTAAATTAAGATAACTGGAGTGTGAAGTCAAATAAGTAAATTGATTTTTTTTTTTTTTTTGGTGGTGGGAGTTGGCTGTGTCACAGGGCTTGTGGGATCTGAGTTACCCAACCAGGGATCAAACTCAGGCCCTCGTCAGTGAAAGCCTGGAGTTCTAACGGCTGGACCACCAGGGTCCAGTAAATTGTTTTTAAAGGTGTGTGGAAAGACTTAAAGAAAGATGCATAACATGAGTTGTGCGTTTAAGTTTTATTCGGGATCTTTCTGAGGACTAAAGCCTGGGAGACAGCCACTCAGTAAACTGTTGCAACTACTTGGTAGAGGTAGGGGAGAAGCCAGTTTATACATGATTTTTGGCCAGGGCATACCTGAAGTCAAGTATATATCTTGGTGAGATTACTACTAATCGTAAAGAACAGATGTCTCCAGTTAATCTTTTCAGCTTTTCTGTGTATGGGAACATGCAAGAATCTAGGGTCATTAAAATTCTTCCTGAGATGTACATCTAACTATCTGTGGGACCTGCCTATTCGTGTGCGTCCGAAGCACAGATGCCTCATTCTGTGTTCACCTTAAATTCCTCTAAGAGTCCTACTGTCAGTCAGCACCTACGGTGGGTTACAACTGAACTCTTGTGGAAATGGGTGGTGAGCAATGCCCTTTGTCTGAGCGATCCTAATTTTTCGGGATCCACCCCTGTATGTTGACTTTAAAAAATGAAGAACCTAAAGTTGACAGTTATGTTTTATTTGGGGAACCTTACTAAGGACTATAGCCCGGGAATTAGCTTCTCAGATGGCTCTGAAGAACTGTTCCAAAGAGGTGAGTGAGAAGCCAGGATATATAGGAGTTTTTGCTGGGGAAAAAAAAATGTAGTCAAACCTCAAAAGATTACTGCTAATTACAAAAAACAGACATCTCAAGTAAAGGGTTTTAATACTTTTCTATGTATGGGAAGATGCAAGTGTCTGGGCTCATTGAAATTATTCCTTTGATATGCATCTTAACTAACTAGGGCCAGTATCCTCTTTTTCTCCACCCTGAATTCCCCTCAGGATGCACTGTCAGGGCAGCTGCAGTGACCGTTGGCTTGAAGGCAGACAGCATTTTTTGTTTACTGAAATAGCAGGCAACATTTTTTTGTCCACAGGTAAGGCTCCTTGCTGCTGGGGTTGTAACTTTTGCACCCCAGGGATTGTACCTCACAAAAGCCAGGGTCTGAGTGCAGTTGCTGGAGAAGGGTCTCGATGGACCGCACGCACTACGCTCGCTGGAGACTGCCCGTGTCAGAAGCTGCCGGAGTAGAAGGTGATTGCTGAGAAAAGCCAGTGCCATGCAGGTTGCCGCTGCCTACATCTAGAACCCGTGCCTGCCATTTGCGTTGAGGATGCCTCCCTTCCCCTATCTCTCTTCAGAGTGGTTCCTTAAACCCTTTATTTTCTTTACTGTTGGGTGTGACTAATTTGAGTGTGTTGAGTGCAATAAGCCAAGTGATTTTAGCCTCTTATACAATTGGCTTATGACATGTTTTACGACTTCTCAATCCCACCATTCTTCCCTGGCCTTGTTGCTTTGGCTTGTGGCCAACACCCACACACAGTAAGGAACTATAATATGTGCTGGGTGGATGACTTAATTTATCTATCTTACTCCTGAACCCAGTTAACACAGATGCAAGGGTAGTCTAAAATCACCGAATCATGGAGTACTAGAGATGGAAGGGACCTTTAAAGGACATCTAGTCCAACCCTCAGAATTAACAGACTAAGGAACTAACATCTGGAGAAGTGAAGTAATTCTCCCAAGTGTATAGATAGTTGTGTTGTAGTCGAATTACATTACATACCCCCTGAATAACTAGCCCTGTAGAGACTCAGGTGTACCATAAGCTCATAGAAGGCAGGTATGGCTTCTTAGATTCTTTTTCATCCTCCTTGCACTCTAGCTCCTGTCCCCGCCCCTCACCCTCACCCACAATCACTTGGAGAGTAAAGGAGTGACTGCATATCTTCATTGCCTGATGTATACACTTTAGTATACATGCAAACATGGATAAAGACACATACCACAGGCACACGCATAGTTTCCCCTCCGGCCCCCACCCTCTGGGAACCACTAACCCATCTTCTCTCCGTGTGGATTTGCCTATTCTGGACATTTCATATCAATGAAACCATACAAAGAGAGGTCCACATACCGGATGTCTAAATAGTGAAAAATTTAAAATCAGCCTAGCAGACTGTTAAAATGTTTTATCCTCTTGCCTTGACAAGTACACCATCACGAAGAGGGTCACGTTCCAATTTAGAATTCTCAGACTTCTTGGAATTCTGTTGGGGGAGGTGGCAGTGTGGAGAGAGCTACCCCCAGTGCTCACTCAGCCCACGCCCTTCTCTTCTCAGCCCATCTCTTCTCTTCTCCATGCTGCACCATGAGGGGCTCTGCATGTGTGTGGCCACCCAGCCCCCAAGTGCAAGGGTAGTCACCCGCTTTCCTGTGAGCAGTCACCCCCAATAGCCCTAAAGGGAGGACACATGCTGGGAAGAGACTGGCTCAGGTATGGAAACAGGCTTGGGGTGGTATGGGCAGGGAATTCCGAGTCCTAGGCACCGTAGTGTGGTGTGGAGGGCTGCAGGAACCCCTCAGCTCCATTGCCTCTTCACACCTGGTACAGGGTGCAGTCAGGGCACCGAGCCCAGGGCAGGGACCCCTTTCACCAAGGTCTAAGGGCATTGTTGCTTATTATGCTGTAAACAACCTTGTCGATCTTGCTAAATCCATTAAAATGATCTCTGATTTCCAGTAGTTTGTGATACTGCTTTAAACCTCTAAATCCCTGTAGAAGCTGTTTGAACTGTAGCTGTAATTATGAAGGGCAGAATATGGCATTGAGTGTACTTGAGAAGAAGCTATTATTCCCAGCTATAGCTCTAAGAATCTAATGTGTTGTGAAACATGTAATAACATAGACACACAAAAGCTGGTTGCACGGGTAAGAGATAAAGTTGGAATTTGCAATTTTATTGCAGTTGCAATAGAACAGCAGTTTCTGAAGAATTGTAAAAATGACCCAGGTTGTGATGATGGTTGTATGCCTATGTAAATTTACTGAAAAACATTGAATTGTATACTTAAAACAGCTGAATTTTATGATATGTGAATTGCATCTTGCTAAATCTGTGTTTTTTGGGGGGGTCATTTTTTAAGATGGTCCCGATCTGAGCTTGGAGTGATGTTCTGGAGTCCCCGTTGCTCCAATTTAGCCCTGATACGCAGTGATACTGACTGCTGGCCCTTGGAAACCACCTGTCAATCACCAGGGCCATGACTTGCTAAGGGAATATGAAAGACAGTAAGAAGTTTTGGCATTTCTTGCTCAGGTGGATTTTGCTTAAGGAAAAGTCTCATGAAAAGAAGAACCCTCAACATTTCTGCTGTAGAACCACAGCAGCTCTATTCATTAGCTCTGTTGAGTGCTATTAGGTTTTTTTTTCTTTTGTTCCCTAGTTTCACAAAGATTCTACCTTACCATCATAAAGAATGGTTTAAAAACCAAATTTTATCCCACTCCCTCGCAGTGAGTTATGGGCTCATGGGGAAAGGAGCCCCCACTTTTGACTGTTCTAAGAAAGAGCAAGAAATACTCTGGGATTAAGCATTTGAAAAAATACTCCTGGGACTTCCCTGGTGGTCCAGTGGGTAAGACTCTGCACTCCCAATGCAGGGGGCCTGGGTTCGATCCCTGGTCGGGGAACTAGATCCTGCATGCATGCCTCAACTAAGAGTTCACATGCCGCAACTAAGAAGTCCGCATGCCGCAACTAAGACCCAGTGCAGCCAAAGTAAATAGATATTTAAAAAAACACTCAAAGAAATACATTTTTCAATCATTTTAAAATAACATTTTTTCTCATTACAGAAGTACTACATATTCACCATGGAAAGTTTGGAAGATGCTGAGATTTAAAATGAAGAAAATGTAGGGCTTCCCTGGTGGCGCAGTGGTTGAGGGTCCGCCTGCTGATGCAGGGGACACGGGTTCATGCCCCGGTCCGGGAAGATCCCACATGCCGTGGAGCGGCTGGGCCCATGAGCCATGGCTGCTGAGCCTGCGCGTCCGGAGCCTGTGCTCCGCAACGGGAGAGGCCACAACAGTGAGAGGCCCGCGTACCGCAAAAAAAAAAAAAAAAAAAAAAAAAAATAAGAAAATGTAAATTATCTATAAATTTATAACCGCTTATTAACACCTGTTAACATTTTGCCTTTTAAAAAGTGATTTAACCAGTACTAAAGGATAATGTAATCATAGCTGAACTACTAATAAATTGGAGAACTATGTAATAAGAAATCTATAGGTGATAATTGTTGAAGCTAGGTGATGGGTAGATGAGTGCTTATTATACCATTCTATTTTTATACAGAAAATTTCCATAATCCAAAAATAAAAAAGAGGCATCTATTTGAAAACTCGCAAATTTTTCTGTATGGCCAAATTTTTAACTGAAATGAATTAAAAACATAGGAGTCAATATTTATTTCAGTATAATAGTTAACTTGCATTTATCCTAGTTAAAACTAAGTCTATGTGAGGATACTGAGCAAACAGATTTTCAACTTCTGATTTGCTAATGTAATTCTTTATTTGGTGAAAAGATAATTGGAAGATGAGAAAGCAATATAGACATCATAACATGTACACAGGAAAAATACTAGGTGTTGCAATCCCATGATCCCTAAAAGAAGAAGCTCCCTGTGTCAGCCCGCTGCTGAGATGCGGATCCTTGGAAGGTCCGTTTTAGTTCATCCCCTAGTGCTGAAGGCAGCTGCCAGCAAGAGCTGAAGGTGACACAGAGTTGTGTGCTTTGAAGTCAGCAAGTCCTGAATTTGAATCCTGCCTCCCCTGCTCCTACTGGTGTGAGCAGGTTACTTAACTTCTCTGAGGTGAAATAAAGGTACTGTAAATAGAGGTACTAAAACCCACCTCACTGATTTGTTTATGATTCACCTGAGGGCTTCCCTGGTGGTGCAGTGGTTGAGAGTCCGCCTGCCAATGCAGGGTACACGGGTTTGTGTCCCGGTCCAGGAAGATCCCACATGCCGTGGAGTGGCTGGGCCCGTGAGCCATGGCCGCTGGGCCTGCACATCCGGAGCCTGTGCTCCACAACAGGAGAGACCACAGCAGTGAGAGGCACGCGTACAAAAAAAAAAAAAAAAAAGATTCACCTGAGATCATTTATAAGTGAAAGGTGGTATAACATAATGGTTAAGCCTGTAGCTTCAGGAGATAGACTGCCTGGGTTCAGTTCTTGGCTCTAGTACTTGCTTTAGCTGTGTGACCTGGGCAAATCACTTAACCTCTCTGGGCTTCAGTTTTCTCACCTGTAAATGGAAGATGATAATAATAGTTCTTACCTCGTAGGTCCATTGGTTGTGAAAGTTAAACAAATTATACACAGAAAGCATTTAGAACAGTGCTGGGCACACGGTCAATGCTATTACATGTGCTTCCGTCTTCATATTATTTTTTTATTGAGATATAATTTACATGCCATAAAATTCACTACTTTAAAGTGTACAATTTAATGGGGTTTTTGTATGTTCACGAGAATGTGCGTCACCGTTATCTAATTTTAGAACGGTTTCGTTACCTCCAAAAGAAAGGTGTGCCCGTTAGTAGTCACTCCCTATTCACTCTTTTCCTGGCCTTCCTGACAACCATCAGTCTATTTTCTGTCTCTGTGGATTTGCCTATTCTGGACATTTCATGTAAATGGAATCATACAGTATATGACCCTTTATCTTTGCCTTCATGCACTTAGCGTAACGTTTTCCAGGCTCATTCACATTATAGGATATACTAGTAGTTCATTCCTTTTTCTTTTTTTTTGTGGTATGTGGGCCTGTCACTGTTGTGGCCTCTCCCACTGCAGAGCACAGGCTCCGGACGCGCAGGCTCAGCGGCCATGGCTCACGGGCCCAGCCACTCTGTGGCATGTGGGATCCTCCCGGACCGGGGCACGAACCCGTGACCCCTGCATCGGCAGGCGGACCCTCAACCACTGCGCCACCAGGGAAGTCCAGTTCATTCCTTTTGATGGCTGAATAATGTTCCATGGTATGAATGCCACATTTGTTTAAGTCTTCATATTATTTAAAGCACCTAACACATAGTAAATGCTTAGGGCCTGGTGGTCTTGTCAGCATCCCACCCAGTGCCATAGGGTTCAGGGCACAGCCCCAGTTCTATTCTATCCCAAGGGGAATAGTACTCAAGGAAGAAGCCCAAGCCGTGCAAGTCCACCCTGATGCAGCCTGCTGTGGGCCTCTCTCTGTCTGCCATGCCCAGCCATGTCTTGACCTTCCATAAAGTGGTCTCAGAAATCATGAGTTCCCCGTTGTCTCTCCCAGTCACACACAACCTGATAACCTGTTGTAATTCCCACTCCCTCTCAACTGCTTGTTTCACTTAATCTGTTCTTTTATTCCTCCTCTGGACCTGATTACCTCCCCAGTTTCCTTACACAGTGCACATTACTTTGTGTTTTGGACCTTGGTTACTTTGTGTATTTGGGGATGTTGTATTAATTATCCATTGCTGCATAACAATTTACCCCCAAGCTTAATAGCTTAAAGCAATCAATACTCTTGTCTCCCATGGTTACTGAGTAGCTCCCATACTGCTGAGTAGCTTAGCTGGGTGGCTGTGGCTCAGAGTCTCTCCCGAGGTTCAAGTTGAGCTGTCAGCTGTGGGGATGTAGTCATTGGACCTCTTGGCTGGAGCTGAAGGATCCCATTCCAAGGGGCTCATCCACATGCCTGGCAAGGTAGTGCTAGTTGTGGACAGGAGGCGTTTGTTACCTGTCATATGGGCCTTTCCATAGGGCCTCTTGAGGGTCCACACAACGTATCAACTGGCTTCCCTACGGTGAGTGATAAAAGAGTGAACAAGGAAGTCACAATGTTTTTTATGACCTAGCTTTGAAACTCACGCTGTCATTGCTGTCATATCCCACTGATTACAGAGATCAGTCATATGCATTGTGGGAGGGGACTATACAGGGGTATAAATACCAGGAGGTGAGACTTGCTGGGGACTAGCTGGCTGCCACATCGAGCCATTGTCTGCATGCCTGTGGCCTGTGCCTTCAGACGAGTGTTATCGAAAGGTTTGCAGCCTGAAGTTCCTCATTTTAACACCACCAAAGCAAAGTCTATAAATTCATCCTCGAAGAGGGAAATGACCCTCCTCACTCTGAAGTCAACCCCTCCACCTGTATACTCCAGCTTCATGTAGTCCCAGTTCTCTTCCTCCCAGGGAGCCTTGCTGCTGCCAAGTTCAATGTCGGAAGATCCCGTCTGCCTGCTCCTCACCTCTGCCCTCCCCTATCTGGCTGACTAATGCCCCCTCTGACTCCCATATCTCCTGGAGAGCATCTGTTTGCCATGGACTTTGGACATTCCATCTGACTCAACCCTCCAGTGTTTATGTACTTTAAATTTCTATGACTCAGCACAGCTAACTCGTCACTGCCTTGTGTATGTTTTGCTTCCCTCCCTGATTGGTGGTTCAACTGATTCACATAGCCTGATATCACGCTAATGTGTCCGAGCAACTGCAGCTTTGCACTCTCCCCAGATATATTTCTTTGAAACTTTCAAATATGCCCAGATCTCCAGTAAAACAACAGCAATAAATAAGCAAACAAATAAACAAAAAATCTCTCTAGCTACCCAAGTAATTCCTCTCCTCTCTTCTCCTTTCCTTGTCAATCCTCTAAAATGAGTGCTGTATTTTGATTTCCAACCTGACCATTCTGAGAACTCTCTATCGAGTAAGTTGGAATATAAGATTGTACACAGAAGTTATTGACAAAGGAGTACTGTCTCAGGATACAGGGTTTAGGGGGTACAAGGAAACTGTATGAACAAGTAGCCCAGATCTCCATGTCACTCATTACACTTGCACCAGCACCCCTCCACCAGCTTATACCTATGGCCATATGATGGAGGTCCCATGTAACCAGTAAAGGAAGAAGAAAAAGACCAAGCTGGGAGTATGGATGAGTCCCCTCAGTATGTGGGTACAAGCTGAAAATGGAAGGCAGCTACATTACAGTCATACTTAGGGGAGGCCTTGAAAAACGGTGGTGAAGGAAAATCTCCCCAATGGAGGAGCTTTCAGATGTGCACTAGGTCATCTGCGTTGTGTGGAAGGAGAATGGCCCAAGGTTAGAACAAATGTGGACTCATGGACAGTGATGTGTGGCCTGGCTGGTGTCTAGAGGACCTGAAAGAAAAAGATTGTAAAATCAGAGACAAGAAGAGCTGGAATTGAGGCACATGGATGAACTATAGGAGTGGATGCAAAGTGGGAAGTTGTTTGTATAATGTTTTAAGCCCACTAGTAAATATCCATTACAAAAGATGTACCAACTAGACAAAGTAATTTGGCCAGTTAATGTAGCCAGCCTTGGTCAGAGCAGCTGTCCCACCCCAGCTACGTGATGGGTACCAAAGAGCCTACAGTGGCAAAAGAGATGGAGGCAATACAAAAACCTACAGCGTGGACTGTCATTTACCAAAACAAATACAGCTACTGCCACCTCTAAATGTCCAATGGGCCAGCCATTAAGACCAAGCCTAAGCACTATTCCTTAATGAGACCAATAGGATACTTGGTGACCAGTTGTGACATTGTGACATCTTTTTTCCTGGAAGGGTCAGAGGTTTACTGTGTCAGGAATAGACAGATTCCAGGTATGGGGTTGCCTTTCCTGCCTGCAGAACCTCAGTAGCACCACTCTGGAGGCTTAAAGATTGCCTGATCCACAGACATGGGATCCCACATAACACAGTATCTGACCAGAAGATTCTTTACAGTAAATAGAGGAATGGGCCCATAAACATGGGATCTACGGGTCATATCACACACAGTGTAATCCCAAAGCTGCTGGATAGATAAAATATTGGAATGGTCAGTTAGAGGTGCAGCCGAAGCTCCAGCATGGAGGCAATATACTGCAGTGGTTATATTTCCTCCAGGACATCGGA